CTTGGCCCGAGCATACCAGACCAGGTTCGCCCGTGCGCCACAGTTCGTTGCGGCCCACACATCAACCCCGCACGCTCGGCACCAGCTCGCTGGATCGCCCAACTCTCTCGTCTACTCACCTTCCGAACGTACTCGTTACCCGATCCTCACTGATCACGCTAACTTCCAAATTCATAGAGAGACAATTAATCGCGCTTGCGGAATTTATAGCATGCATGCTTGCGCGAGAAACCCAGGATTATGCCTAAGTGAGTGGAAGGGGAAGAGTAGAAAGTGCCTACGTCTGCATGGCTAGGCCGCGGCGTGGGGGACATACTCCACGCATCGATCCATTCATGCAGTCGCTCAGGCCAATTAGGATGGAGGACGAGGGATGCGCAACAGAGAGGGAGAAGGCGGGAAAAACATGAGAGAATCAAGAAGAAGAAGTTCAAATACAATCGCGCCCGCCAAAAATACGGTTACACATAAGATTAAGGGTGCAATACAGTCAGAGCCTAGTCCTCACCGCGGCGAGACGTGCGTAAGCAAGAAGCGCGGTGCAACAAAGATTTCTAAGGTTCCTAAATTCCTGTCTAAATCCTAACTTACAAAAAGAAATTCCGAAAGGAAAACAATTTCGAGAGCCCGCGGGGGCTCGACATCAGTTTGAAAATTTGAAAACAACGTTCCCGCGCGACGATCGCGCCAAAATTCCCAGTTCCCACAACAGAACAAGAAAGAAGCTATGGCAACAGTTATCCTTTCGCGCCCGCCAAGGCGCGGTCTAACTGCTTACCCGGGACTTTCCCGTCCCTGGTCCGAAAGTCCAAAAAGAAAGAAGCGAGGGTATCCATGCAACTTGCCCGGCCGACCCATCCCTATGTTCCTCGCCTGACCAACCCGTCCGAGCCCGTGAAGCAGCTTTGCGCAGAAAGTCGCGCAGTTACGGGAAACAGTTCGCCACATCCGCGAGATAGTGGGGCCGGGGGCGGGGTTCGAAGCGGGGGCGGGGCTGGTTGGTGGGTGAGGGGCGCGGGGTCCCGGCGGGGGTGGGCACGTGTCGGCGGGTGTCGGAGGGTGTTCGGAGGTGAGTGGGTTGCGGGTGCGGGGGGGTACGTCGGCGGGGGTCCAACCAGGGTGCCGGCGGGGGGTGCAGGTCCGTGGGTTTGCGGTGTTGAGGGKGGAGGGAGGCCCAAGGCCGGGGGCAGGGGTTGGTTGTCCTGGTTGCTGGAGCCTGGGAGAGGCGTAGTGGAGGTTGGGGGTGCGTGGAGAGCAGGGGAAGGGGTGGTATAGGTAGGGTATAAGGGTATTGAACCAGCTCTGATACCAAATTGCAAGGAATATGAGCGAGGGCGATAGAAATAATCCAGATTGTGAAATCAAGAAGTAGCGAAGATAGTCATGTACCAAGTAGTGAGCACAATGCACCAAGATACCATCCAAATAAGAGCAATATAATGAATGTTTGTGCCAATGTTGGCGCTCTCTGGTCTTACCAACACAGTATACGTTCTCTATCTCTCATCATCACACCCTGTCTCCCCTCTCTGCATACGCCTCCTACCCGAAGACCACCATAGCCATCACCTGCCTGCGCCCCAGAAGCCCGTCTATGGCTGTCGTGCGCCCGCTGCCCACAGTGCTTATGCTGCTGCTCGTGCTCGAGTGCAGCAGTATGGCCGCAATGCTCACCAAGGCGAGAATCCGAAGTCTGGGCAGGTCACTTTCCTTTATGGAAAGCGCAGCCCTGTCTGGCTGCGTGGGGCTGGCTGGACGAGTTTCCAGTCAGGCCCCAGTGTCTGCGCCCAGGCCCACCTTTGCTGTTACGGGCCTGGGCACTTTACAGTTCGGAACGTCCAGACAGCCTTCCAGGCTGCAAGTGTTTGCGGCATTCCAATTGGCTTGTCATCGATGTGCCTCACACTGCATGTGCCCAGTGTCCAACTATCCAGGCCGTGGGCTCAACTGTATGACGCATCTCCTTCGTTTGGAAAGAACCAGGAGAGGCTCACGTTGCTCTGTAACCAACTGGTGTGCTGCAACTGTCTGATAACAGACATAGGGCCTCGTTAGACACTCCTTACGAATTCCTTAAGCCACAAGGAATTTTCCTTGTGGCTCGTAAGGGAATTTGGGCTCTTCATTCC